GTGTTCCTTCCTTTCTGGGCTGCTTATATCCTGTGCCCAGGGCTGACCTGCTTATGTTTCTTTTTATCTCCAAGGGCAGAGCCAAGTATGCCTTCAGTCCCTGTTGGTCTTTCCCTGTCCCCGTCTCCACCATGAGAGTGGTTCCTGAGCTGTAGACTTGGGAGTTAGCTCTTGAGTTGGGGGTGAAGTTGTAATGGTAGCTCTAGTGAGTCAGATACTTGGCCAGGGCATTAGGCTATATTTGGGCACTTTTTCCAATTCAGACATAGTATTGACTTCAGCCTAAATGAGGTAACTAACTGCCCATTGTGTCCTTGAGGTGTTTGCTAGGCTGTACAGCTCTCCCGAACCAAGACTAGGGGCACAACCTCAAGGGAACCTCAGTTGTGTTAAAAATGCCTAGAATAGATATTTGTTATCTGGCAATACTAATACGATGACATTGTTGCCTGAAGATAGGTGGAGGCTTGGGGTTCTGGGTGGGGAACCAACAGAGTGGTGCCAGTAGCAGCCATAAATAGAGGAGTACACAAGCCCAGCATGAGGCAACCTTGACCCAGAAGGTAGCCCAGCTACCCTTGGTGAAGGTCTTTTCCAGTTCTGCTCCCTCATAGCTGTGGAACCAAAGTCTGTGGTTAGAGAATAGGAAGGGCCTTAGCGTTTGGACCTGCCCTAGCCATCAGATTGTGGCAGACCCAGGTGAGTTTCCTGGGACCCTAAGGACTGGCCTTGATTCAGTCCCTACGATAGCTAGGTTTTCAGGAGAGTGTCCCAGGCCCACTTCCCCATCCTACCTGAACCAGTTGGTAAGGGTAACCATGACATAGAGTGATGCAAGGAAGAAGACGAAGTGGAAGGCAGAATAGCTGTAGGAAAGATGCTGGGCTTGCACTGGAGGAGCTGGAGAGGTCTCTTGGTCAGCTGGCCTGGCAGCTCCTCTTTGCCCTGAAGAGAGGGAGGGCAACAGTGCTGCTGAAATACCTCTTCCACCTTCCTCCACCCCCAGCTTCCTTTGTGAAAGCACTTAAGGGCTCTTTGGCACTGCAGAAATCTACACTTTCTTATGGATCCTCACTTGACACTCACCTTCCTCTGGCTCCACTGTTTCAGGGCAACAGAAACAGAGTGAGGGCTTCTGTAAAACAAAAGGCAGCATGTTTTGGAATGACTTTGAAAAGAATGTGAAGGTATTAGCATAGGAAACTCCCTTTCTTTGAAAATTATCTGGTGTAAGAAGTAGAGGCACACCTGGGTTCAAATGCTAGCTCCAGCATCTAACTGGCTATGGGAATTTTGGTAAGATGTTTAATCTGTGCCTCAGTTTCTCCATTTGTAAAATGGAGCAAATAACCTACCTCACAGGGTTGTTGTGAGGATTATATTAAATGAGATTATGTATGTAAAGTAGCACAGTGCCTAGCACATTGTGGGTACTCAATAAAAGGTAATAGCAGCTAGAATCTGAGCTTTCTGGGTAGAGATTGGTAGGATGTGTGTCTGTCTGTCTGTGTGTGTGTGGAGGGAGGGGCACCGAACTGGGGATACTGAACTGGGATACCAAAGTCTCCATTCTCACCTGGAACTCATAGTTGTAAACCTTGATGATCCACAAGGGTCCAAATACTTCAGCCAGGTAGGAAGCCTCATTGCTGAGAAAGAATACAGTTCTCAAGCAGGTTTAGTCAAATAGCAGGAGGGAATTGCCTGCTGGCAGCTACTGCCAACTGGTAACTCTCAGGAGGATATTGTGTTCCTAGAACCATTTCCCCCCCAAAGATTTAGAAATCTTCACATGAGGGCCCTAAAATCTTTGCATGTATTTTTAATTCTCATATCATTCCCCTTGCCCCCTTTTTCTTATACAGATCATCTGACAAGTGCTATTCTTAGAAACTTTCTGTTCATGGAGAGCTTTCCTGTTGTCGTGTTTTAAAGTTTAAATAAACACGGTCCCAGACAATCTGACCATCCCTCCCTGTCCTGGGCATTTTTCCTTCTCTCATACCTCTACCCTTGACACTTTTACGCACCAAGCAAAAAGCACACAAGCATACATGATGCCAGCACTCAGCACTGCCGGAGAAGTGTCTGGTGTTCGGGGTTCCATTTTACTCAGGCCAGGCAGACACAGTGTGTGATTCTGTCCTTGAAGAATTACTGAGAAGGGTAGAACAAAAGTGGTAAGAACAAAACTAAGTATTTGGCAAGAGCAAAAAAAAAGGGGTTTTAGCCTGGGGAATCCAGGTCCTGTCCTTACCACTCTCTGGAGGTCGGCTGGACAGTGCAGAGAAGGTCAGATACATGATGTAACAGCTGATGATAGAGGCTTGTAGAAGGCCAGAGCGAGGTTGCTCTGGGCAGAATGGGGATCATTGCTTTAGTCTACAGGGTAGCAATTTCCTCCATTTCTACCCCCAACCCCACTTCTGTTTCCCCACCCTTTGGGAGAACCAAAGAATTGATAGATTAGGGAAACTAATGTAATTTGCTATACTCAAGGTCCCCCAAATCTGGAATGTTGCAAGGCATGTACCCACTGAGGCGGATGCAAGGAGCGATGGAGAGGATGGAGAGGAGGCCACAGAAACAAAGGTGCAGACTAAGCAGCATCTTGTTGAGCAGGCAGCCAGCTGGGTGTGTGTAGTTGTGGAACAGGAACACTGCTGCCACACCTGCCATGCTGTAGAATACTAGGGTGGCCAGCAGCATGGCTAGGAACCAGCGACAGTCTTGGAATGCACCTGTCTGCCTAAGGGTGGAGGTGGGCAATGGCTTCAGGCTCCAACTCTTTTTTTTATTACCATTACCAACTATTCCCCTCTCCCAGAAGACTGGTGTGACTACCCATCCCAACTGGCCCACAGAGTTATCAGATTCCTGAGCTTTTTTGATATTGTTCAGTGAGAAGTTATGGGACCATGGACCTGTCATGTCCTTTGCCCAAGCCCGCTGGGTCTACTAATGTCAGGCAACATTCCCAGGAAGAGCCGTTAGGGTTATGTGCTCCTTACCAGTTCTTATTCCAGGAATGGGCGAAGGCTGTGATAAGCACCAACTGCAACAGGATGAATGTGAAGCCTCCACAGATGCCAATGTAATGCCAGGCTGCAAGTGGGGGACCAGTGGGAAAACGTAGCTGATCATATTATTACTCCTTGTCTTCCTACCCTCTCTTTTTCTTAGAAAATCTTTTAGCCTACTGATCAGGATATGAGATGGAAGGTACCTGGGAAGAGATGCTCATCAGGGATGCAGAAGGCAACAGCACAGAGACCTAGCAGGAACAGCAGCTTGAGGAGCCAGAAGCTGGTTAGCAGGGAAAGAAAAACAGGTTCAGAAGAAAAGGCAAAGGAGAGTGGACAGTAGTGCCTACTGAGGAAGGCAAAGGAGAAAGCAAGACTAGGAAGAAGGGGAGAAGAGACAGCTAAGTATAGGAAAGGAGTCTTGTGTGAGAGCAGCTGGAAGCAGGCCCATTGCAGCTTATTCCAGATCCTCTCAGATACCTAAATAACATTTGGGCAACATTTTACTATTGACATAGGGCTTGCATATAATCCCACTGTCACCTCCATTTTAGAAACTGGAAGTTCAGGCCATGGCCAGGTAGCTCAGTTGGTTAGAGCGTCATCCCAATACGCCAAGGTTGTGGGTTCCATACCCGGTCAGGGCACATACAAGAATCAACCAGTGAATGCATAAATAAATGGAACAACAAAACAACATCCCTTCCTCCCTCTCAAAATCAATTTTTAAAAATCTTTAAAAAATAAAAAACTACCTGTTTCTGTCTTTTTACAATGCTATTACTTCATCTTGGAATTTCCTTGAAGCTTATGTCTACTTCCCTCCCCACCCAAAGAGCACACAAACCTATTATGCAGCTGTGCCCGAAGGCTGGTAGGGGAGTGCAGGTGGACCAGCAGCACAGCCTGCAGCAGGTGGAAGGTGGCAGTTCCTGCACAAACTCTGTACACAGCCCCAGAGCCACTGAGCACTGGGCAGTGAGAGTGGCCAAACAGATGGGCACAAAACCCCGAGGGCATCTGGATCTGGAAGGAGGGCAAGTCGTCATGCATAGAGAGGTACCTACTTCCCATGGGTATTACCCACTCATTTGTCTCCAGCCCCCAATCGGAATCTTGTCAGTGCAACTCTGTCCCCTCACACTTACGCCATTAGCCTTGCCCCACACCCTCTCCACTACTGTTCTTGACAGCAGCAGGCAGCAGACTGCTGAGGCACCCATATGGAGGATTATGTAGAACAGGCGGCTACAAGTGGACTCTGTGAGATGAGGCCACCTAGAATGGCAGCAGCAGGTACAGGGAACAGGCCCACAGCAGGACACCTGGGGACAGAGCAGATGCAGGGCTAGGGTTACATTAATGCATGTGGGAGTTTAAACGAAGGCTGAGTTCTAAAATTTCCCCTTTCCTTTTCTTCCAAGCTATTTGGGATTGACTTCCACTGACATCAAATAGAGCTTTCTAAGAGCTTAACTTCTGGCAGGCTTGAGCAGAGCTTCCTGAAAGCCTAAGTCACACCTGGTCTGTAACCTTTCCCCAGACTAAACATCTGATACTGGGAACCTGGGAGGAGAGGTTTAATGATCAGTAATCTTACAGGCCAAGAAGCAGAAGGGCCTCCAAGGGGGAAGGAAGGCCTTTATCGGCTCCCTGGGCTTTCTTCCCCAGCTTTACTACTATTCCCTTCCACTTTTCAGAGAGCTCTGGTCGAGGGAGCTTTCAAGCCTCTGCCCAAGTACCTTCTCACCTGATAGAAGGGAGGATTCACTCTGACATTGCTGTCTTCACTGTGTTGCTGTGCCAGGCGGAGGGAGGTGCTGGGGCCCGCGGTGGCCTTTGCACCCACCATCCTTATGCCAGATGGAAGGTAGATGAGAAAATAGCAGCTCTCTTTTGTCCTCAGCCCATTGGACTGCCACGGTGCTGGGGCTGGTCACCCAGTCTAAAACGGAATGGGCAGGAACATCAGGAAAAGAACACCGACCTCCAGGCTGTGGTAAATGCCAAGGTCCCAGTGAAACTACTTTCTTACGTGGGCCCTTAGGCCACCCTGGCTGTTCGGCCTCGATTAGAGAGCAGAATGCATATGTGCCTCCTGCGGATTAGCCTTCTTAATTGGTTTAGGATTAGACATCAATGCTGCTTGACCAGAATTCCTTGGGAGTGTGTGCGCGCGCCCGCGGAGGGTGCTGGAGGGATCCGGGTAAAGAGGGAAGGATGTGAGGGGGTAGGTCTGGGAAAGGGCTCTGCAGAAAACAACACTGTACAAGCCCAAAGAAAGGCGGCCAGGCAAGCCCCTTCCTCGCTGAAGCTTCTAGAACCAGAGCACTGATGAAGGCGTGGCCCAGGCACAGCCCGCCCCCTCCCCTCCCGGCGGATGTTGTGGGCATTCCCGGAAGTCGCGGGGCGGGGCGGAGTCTGCGGCGGCGCGGTGTGGTCGATATGGCGACCGAGGGGGATGTGGAGCTGGAGCTGGAGACCGAGACCAGCGGCCCGGAGCGGCCCCCCGAGAAGCCTCGGAAGCATGACAGTGGTGCGGCGGACCTGGAGAGAGTGACCGACTATGCGGAGGAGAAGGAGATCCAGAGTTCCAACCTGGAGACGGTGAGGCGGGCCGGGCGCGTGTCGGTCGGGCTGAGAGCGGAGGGGGCCCTGACGGGGTAACTGGAAGCCCCGCTCCAGGACCGGGACACGATCCCGATGGCGGGAGGAGGCAAGAGGGAAACCGAACCATCACTGGGACCCGCGGCTTGCGAAAAGGAGCTTGCTGGAGATTGGGTTTAAAGTGGGCTTCCGGAGCTCAGGATTGAATTAAATAGGCCTCCTGATACACTCGTCCTCGAGAATATACACCTGCCTCGCTTGTTAATGGCTTTTTATATTAGGGTTCGTGGGTAGCAGAGCAGTAACTAGATTTGTCTTTCCCGCAGGCCATGTCCGTGATTGGAGACAGACGTTCCCGGGAGCAGAAAGCCAAACAAGAGCGGTAAGTCTTCTGTACGCAGCCAGCCCTGGAGCCCCTCCTTCCCCCAGCAGAAACGAAAACCACGAGTAAGCCTGGTACCGTTCAACTGTCACCAATTCCCTCAGACACAAGGTTTACAACTGCACTCTTTTGTTGGTAGATGTAAGGCCTCCTGGCAACACCTACTGACTGCCTGCCCTAAAGTCTCCTGGGGGAGGGGGGTAATGTTATGTTGAGAGGGTGGAAGTCATTTTGTATTTTCACTCAACTGTTTATCAAGAGTCATTTATTTGTAAGGTACAACGGGATGTCCTTCCTGGGAGTTTGTGGTGGAGATGGAGAATGAGGACTAATACACATGAATATTTGTAGGGAGAAGGAACTGGCAAAAGTCACCATCAAGAAGGAAGATCTGGAGCTGATAGTGAGTAGTGATGCCTTGTAGTAGTGAGTGGTGAGTGGGCAGGGGAGGTTACTTTGCCTAGTTCGGGCTGTTTCTTGAAACAAGTAGAGTTAGTATGTTTTGGTGGCACATTAATGCCAGAGAGGTAACATCATTGATCCTTTTCCTGCAGATGACAGAGATGGAGATCTCAAGAGCAGCCGCAGAGCGGAGCTTGAGGGAACACATGGGCAACGTGGTAGAGGCTCTTATTGCCCTGACCAACTGATTTGTGCTTTCTCAGACCTATCCACTGGATTAACTTATTGCAATAAAGATGCCTCCTTTTTTGTGCAGTTTTATCATTTTGGATCAAATGTATATTGTATTTTACTGTGGGAAATTTACATGCTTTTGTATAACTGAATTTGATTCCCCCCCCACTCTCCCCTCATGAATCTACGTGAAGGATCATTGTAGAAAAGTCTCATGTTCACATGTAAATGCCGGATGGCAGGACAGCTCATTCATCAGACTAGCTCTTATTTTTTTTAATTTTTAATTGATTTTAGAGAGAGAAGGGAGGGGGAGAGAAACATCGATTGATTGCTTCCTGTACGAACCCACAATCAGGATATGTGCCCTGAATGGGAACTGAACCCAAGACCTTTGGGAAGACACTTCAACTAACTGCAGCTATAAACACATTCCCAAAAGAATTTCAAACTCACTCTCATTTTGGCTGTAGGATAATTCTAAGATTGTATTCCTCTCTGGCACACAGTGACTTACATTCATATATATATTTCTTAAAACATTTTTATTGATTTCAGAGAGGAAGGGAGATATAAAAACATCAATGGGAGAGAATCACTGATAAGCTGCTTCCTGCAAACCTCCTACTGGGGGGTCTAGACTGCAACCCCGGGCATGTGCCCCGACTAGGAATTGAACTAGGGACCTTCTGTGATGGGAATGACACCCAACCAACTGAACCACTCTGGCCAGGGCTGCATTTGTATTTTTATCTAGGACTTTTTAAGGATTTATGAGCGACTTCCCAGAGGGACATTTAAAGGATGTGAACAAACCTTGGCTGCCTTATTTTTTCATGCAATTGAGAAGTAGCCTTCCTGCTCGTTAAATGTCATTTCTGATAATTCCTAGAACTCCTCATGCTCTGCCATGTATATGGGAGTTATGTAGGAAGAGTTAAGTGGAAAAATCATGAATTTAACTTTAGCACAATGTCACTACACTGAAACTCGGCACTGTGGCCTCCTTAATATATGAGTTGGGCAAAGAAAAGATACTGGTAGGGACTTGGGAGTCCCCATTTTATAGGTTAACTTTTGTTATATATACAGATACAATTAAGAAGGCAAGGACAACCATCTATGTATATTATTTGCTCAGAATAAACTGGGTGCCACTAAGAATATGCCTGTCTGTAGAGTCTGAGTTTGTTTCTGAGATCAAAGTATGAAATACCATTTGCCTGACAATTCTGACTTTATTTTAGTTAACAGGTGATACTTAATAGCCTGCACATTATTTTCCAGTATGAAGCTCAAAAAGTCTCATGTGATTCTTTTATTGACATATACATAAATGAATTTAAAAAGTACATTCACCTAGAAAAATTGACTAGAGCCAAAAATGTAAATCAGATTTCAATAAGCTCAGATTTCCTGTAAGGTAGAAGTAATGCACTGTCCATTTACATGTCTATATTTCTGACCCAAGCTAAGGGGCTGGGGAAAAACTTGGAACAGTCCCAAGTAAATTTGGGAAACCAGAGCAATGATGAAAACGAAGATTTCTCAGAAATAATTTTAAGTGGGGATAATCCTACCTGGATAGTGCTTTTATGTGGGTTTCTCAGCATGAGTCCAAACCGCACAAAGCACCTTCCAAAACTGGGTTACCCAGTGTCACAAGTACGGCAGTAGGTCCAACAGGCTGGATACACAGCCCATGTAAATAATAGTGAAAGCAAAGGACCAGACACTGAGACTTGCCCTTGTGTCCCACAGCTGGAAGAACAAGTAGTCGATCTTTAAGTAGTTTTCCGCTTTTTGGCAGATGGCCGTTCAAATACATCTCTTACCCCAGCTGCCTTTTGTTTAAAGAACTTTGTGTTCTGGGCACTCTCTTGGCCCCATGCTGAATCAAAGGAGGTCGTGTCCTGGTCCACAAGGTGGGTATATTTGGTACGACCAGAGCGCCCAAAGTTCTTGACCTGAGGGAAGGATAGGTGATGAGTTATATTACCAAACATTATGTCCCAGCCCTCAGTATTATTTTTCTCTCATGTTAAGGTGCCCCATACCTGCATGACTTTGGGAAGAATTGTTTTGTTGAAATGATCCTCCAGGGTAGGTGCGCTGAAATCTCTCTTGTATACTTCTTCATCCTCATCCTGCAGAAAAGAGTCTTATCAATCTTGTGGTTTTATTTCCCATGCATTCAAACCACAAATTTATTAAACTATGATGAGGGGTACAAAGAAAGCAGGGGGATAAAACCTTTTCTTCAAGAGCTTACATCTTAATATGACACGCCTTCCCCCCCTCAGGTCCTTTTTTCTTCCTAAATGTAGCCATTTCCTGAAGGTTGGTTATATTCTCTCTGCACTCAACTATATTCATTCACTCATATGTCTAACTTTGTTACAAGCCTTTCAAATCTCTGATTCTGAATTTTTTTTTGTAGATACAAAATAATTAGCCATTTACATGCAATAAACATTAATATTTCAAGAAAAATAATTTTAAATATATTACAAAAACTGTACTAACAGTATATCACAAAAGTTGTAGGAAATATTAAAAATCTGCAAATACCAGAATTCCACTATATTTTGAATATTTTTTTCCCCTCTGGCTCTATTTTTGTTCATCAGTTTATTGATTCTGAATTTTCTACTTCCCATTAGTTTGAATATTCTGTTGGGACTTCAAACTCTCTAAAGTGGAAAATTATTTCCCCAACCTTTCTAATTCAGCTTCTTCCTGATTTAACTTTTTCTGTAAATAGGACCAACATTCTCTCAATTACCTACATTCAAAATTTAAATCTGTTGTGCATGTCCTGGTCGGCTTGGCTCAGTGGTTAGAGCGTCAGCCTGCGGACTGAAGGGTCGCAAGTTCGATTCTGGCCAAGGGCACATGCCTGGGTTGTGGGCTTGTTCCCCAGTGCGGGGGTTTGCGGGAGGCAGCCAATCAATGGTTCTCTCTCATCATTGATGTTTCTATCTATCCTCCCTCTCTGAAGTCAATAAAGAAATATATTTTAAAAATAAATAAATCTGTTGTGCTGATTCAATCAGTTGCCACTTATAAATTCTCTTCCCCTGGGTTATCATAGTTTTTCGTTGCAGTCAATCTTACACACTACCAGTGGATTAATGTTTCTAAAACACAACTCTCTCATATTTTGGCCTTGCTTAAAAACTTTAAAATTTTCTATTTTATTAAACAACAACTCTGTGTAGTAGTCAAGGCCAAATACTATACAGCCTTAATTGATCTCTCCTTGCCACTTTCCTTTTCCTTTACACTGCCTCTACTCTTGGTCCCTTCACCTGGAATGTCTTCCTACTAGCAAATATCAGAAAGTCTATACATTAAATGTCACCTCCTTTATATTATCCTTTTCAGTCTTCTACAAACTATAACATCTCCCTTTTCAGAAGTCTCACAGTACTTTTCATTTTCCTTATGTTATATATTTGCCCTACCTTCATTTTTAGAGTATTAAACAGTGCCCTTTTTGCAGTAAAAGCTCAAAAGGTTATCTACTTAATTATAGTAATAAAAGCACAATACGCTAATTAGACTAGACATCCTTCCAGATGACCTTTCTGGATGAAGCTGGGGCTACTAGGGAAGACCGGGTCCCAGGTGCCAGAGGGAAGCCAGTGCGAGCAGCCGGGGGAAGGAAGGCCTACTCTTGCATGAATTTCGAGCATTGGGCCTCTAGTATAAAATAACTATAGAGCATAGTTTCAAATCAACATATTAGTAAGACTATAATGTTAAGATATAGATCATAAACATATGGTAAAGGAATTAAAATAGTAGCATCTTGGTTAAGGAAAGCATCATGGAGGAGCTGAGTCCTTTAACTAAACACACTTTTGGAGTATTCTTTTCCCTTCAGCTAGAAAAAGACCCAGTTTAAAGTAGGACAATTAAACAGTTTTTGTGAGATTTACTTTTCTCTTGTTTGAGCCTGAGTTCCTCATTTAAACTCAGAAGCTATTTCAACTTCACTCTCCTTATCTAGATGAGAAGACTTAACATTTGAGGATGTGCATCAAAAGACTTTCATATAAACTTTATGTATCTTAGCCAGCCAGCAATACACTTCTCTAAGAGGCTTGGATGTTGAAGCTGCTGAAATGCTTAAGCAATGATAACTTCATGACTTAGAAGCAGTATAAGGAGTGATTCATAATTTCTACCAACTTCAATTTAGAAAAACTACATAACTAAACATTTCCTGCTAAGCAAACAGACACACTGATTTTGGAGAGGAGTAAGGAACCCTACAGTGAAGTTTTTTTTTGTTTTTTTTTAAATAATTTTACCAGTATCTGCAGTAACAGGCAGGAATTTAGCTGCAATGGTGATATTTAGGGTCTGACATACAACATTTAAAAAAGCTAGTCTAAGTTTTTGATACAAACTCCTCACACACAAGGAAATAGTTTAACAAACGACATGCTATTGGAATAATAAATGTAATCAACGCTTCCATTTCCTTTCTGGCTATCTTTGTATTAAGAAATTATCTCTAGCCTGGCTGGTGTGGTACAGTGGTTAAGAGCTCACCCAGGAACCAAGAGGTTGCTGGTTTAATTCCTGGTCAGGGCCTATACCTGGCTTGCAGGCTTGATCCCCAGTGGGGAGCATGCAGGGGGCAGGTGATCAATGATGTTCCTTTCATATTTCTCTCTATCTCTCTCCCTCTCTCTAAAAATAATTAAAAGAAATTATCTCTAATGCTAATCTGAATAATTTGGAATAAATCGCCTAATATAGGATTTACAGGTTGATATTTTGATCTTGGAAAGATGATGGCATTACACATACTGGTTAGATAATTAACCACTTTTTTTGTTAGTTAGGCTTAGTAACTTTCTGTCAGCTCAGAATGAAGTGAATTAAACTTTTGCCATGCAAATATGAGTTCATGTGAAGCTATTTACAGAACCTATTTTATGCATAACCAAAATGCAAAAGTCAGTTATGAATAATATCTAAGTGATTTTGGTACATAAATAGTCTAGCATCTATATAGATCACTCTCTATTTCAATTCCTCATTTCTAACATCATTTCCTCCTCCTGGGAACTGGGGCTAAAAGAACAGTTGCTGCAACTTCTACAATCCTTTTGCCAATACTTTTCTCTATTGGGTTCATATTCTTCAGAGGCAAAAAAGCAAATGAGAAAGCTGACCAATGGCAAGTAGAAGTAACATTCTGGAACCAGTTTATTCTTGAGGGGAAAATAGATTTCAAAGCTTCTGAGTTATTTCTAGTGCCCAACTTTCCCTTTTCCCTTCTTACCATGAAGAACGCACCCCGGTGATAATACTTCTGTAAGAACTTGTATTTGCCCTTAACAGCTTTGTTGGTAATAACTTTGCCATTTGCACGAAGCTCAGCTCGTCTCTCTTCCTCAGTCAGGTTTCGCATGCGTTCAATTTCTGCTTTCTCCTTCTCAAGCCTGTCCACGGAACAACATTATTTATTAGTATCATTCCAGCTTCAGAAAGACCTAATTATCAGAGTATAACATAGCATTGTTCATTTTTTTTTGTTAATCCTCACCTGAAGATATTTTTCTGCACTGATTTTCAGAGAGAGTGAAAGTGGAAGGAAAGAGAAAGAGACAAAACATCGATGTGATAGAGACACATTGACTGGGTCCTTCCCCCATGGAATCGAAACCGCGACCCTTTGGTGCGGGGGCCAACGCTCTAACCATGCACTGGCCAAGGCATTCAACTTCTTAAAAATTTTTTGTTATTCCTCACCCAAGGATATTTTTCCATTGATATTTAGAGAGAGTATAGGGAGGGTAAGAGACACAGAGAGAGACAGAGAAGCATTGATGTGAGAGAGACACATCAATTAGTTGCCTCCCATACACGCCCAGACTAGGACTGGGGATCAAGCCTGCAACTGAGGTATGTGCCCTTGACCTCGAACCCGGGACACTTTAATCTGCAGGCCATACTCTCTAGGGCCATTCAGCTTTTTAAAAAGTTGATTTGAGAGAGAAAGGGAGGGCAAGAGAGAAACATCAGTTGCCTTCCATACACGCCCTGACTGGAATGGAACCCAAAATCTGGGTATGTGCCATGTCTGGGAATTGAATGCAAAACCCTTTTGTGCATGGGATGACACCTTGACCAACTGAGCCACACCAGCCAGGGCTATTCATCTTTTAAAATTCTAGTCATTGCCTGTTAGGAATCAAGAGTAGGGGTTCAATAAATAAAAAGGTCAGGTGGTCTTCATTATGCTGGCAAGATCAGATATTATAAAGTACCAAATGGTGATTCTAGCCTTTTTTTGTGGTTTAGACATACTGTTATTGCTTGACTTTACATTACTAATTCCCCTTTCCTAAAAAGCCTCTTAGCTTAAAAAAAAAATCAGAATTTAAAATAACTGTAACACAATACGCGGTTACATGTCAGAAACTAAGGATTACCATCATTAGATTGTTGTGACTTTTGGGGGTGGGGAGAGTCACAGATCCCCTTTCTCCAAAAAAATGCAAATATACACAAAATTTTGCATACAATTTTAAAGGGTACCTGGACTCCATGAAGCCCAAGATAAAACCCTTAGAAACTGCAGGCTGAAGGTAGAATCTTCTGTTGATGGTTTCCCACTGTAATCTGGGATTGGTCTTTCATTCCTAGTAATTTTCAGGTATGGGTATGCAGCCCAGAAATGATTCTGCTCTAACACAGTGAGTGTAGTAGATTACCTAAATGCCAATAATTTCTTCCCCTCACAGTATGCATGCCCCTTTGCAGAAATGATATATGAGTCTCAAAAGATCTTGCCAACTTCCACCTTTGTTCTCTTGAAATATTGTTGCAAGACTGTTATGTAAGGAAGCCAGTCTAGTCTATTGAAGAAAGAGAAGTGAGGCATCCTAGCTGATGGTCCACACCAACTACCAGACATGTGAGTGAAGACATTCTGGGCTTTCTAGCCCAGTTAGTCCTTTAGCTGGATGCAACTACATAAGAGAGCCCAGATGAAACCAGCAGAAGTACTGTTTGGCCAACCCTCAAAATTGTGAGAAATAACAGATTGCTTTGAGTTACTTAACTTTGGATTGGGCTGTTATGCAACAATAGATAACTGATAACTGATAGAATAACTTTTGTGCATCTACTAGGAAAGTAAAGGGAGTATTTACTGGCACTCTATAATGGAGAAACACTGACAAAAATATTTTTTTTCCTTGCTTTTATTGTAACAGCCACATTCCAATTATGGAAACTTACCCAGTTGCAGGGACCTTAAGAAAGCTAGAATGGAACCCCAAGTAGGTATTGAGCCTCAGAACCATTCTAGGAACCTGTGTCATTAGCAGTATTAAATTCTAGGATCATTACTCACGCTTCTCGATCTTCTCTGTCCCTCTTGATTCTCTTTAGTTCCCGAACTTTCCATGCCTCATATTCCTCCTCATCATTTTCATCGTCAGTATTCAGTGCATCCAGTGCAGCCAGGGATCGCTTGTTTTCCTCCAGCTCTTTCTTGGTCTCCTCTTCTACAATCTGGATAGGGAGAAAAATTCAACTGTCACACTTCCTTATTCTTCTCAGACAAACCTAAGTACAATACTCCTTGCACTCAATCCTCACAGCCACTCCCAGTACCTTGAGTGTATACTTGCGCCTCTCCTCAGCCATGCGTTTAGCCTCCTGCTCCAGCTCCTTCTGTTTCAATGCTTCAGCCTCACGTTCTTGAACTGTTACTCGGTCCTTCCTGTGGTACAGAGGTCCTGTTAATTTCCCAAAGCTCTTAGAGTGAAGCTCTGTTCTTCTAAATCAAGTCCTGTCCAAATCAGACAAAGCCAAACAATTTCTGGCTCTATTATTTGCAAAGAGCAAAAAACAGGAGTCATGCCAAGTTTTCAGAGCATCAAAATTCCAATCATCTTTGAGAACTGCCTGAATAGCAAAGAATCTGCTCCAGGGGTGGGCAAACTTTTTGACTCGAGGGCCACAATGGGTTCTTAAACTGGACCGGAGGGCCGGAACAAAAGCATGGATGGAGTGTTTGTGTGAACTAATATAAATTCAAAGTAAACATCATTACATAAAAGGGTACGGTCTTTTTTTTTTTAGTTTTAATCATTTCAAACGGGCTGTAGTTTGCCCATGACTGTACTGTAAGTAGTAGGATTTCTAGCCATTAGGAAAGGAATAGGAATTTTCTCTTTAAGCTTAAAATAATATAAGCTCTTGGGCAGATATGTACCCAAGAGAGTGCATAGAGTACGTACATATCTGAGAAGGAGATGTGAAAACAAACTCATACTCCACTAACACCAAGATATTCCTCAGCAAGTACCACACAGAGCTAGGGCATTGGGCGAAGGCTGTCACTTAGTGCTTACATTTCAGAGGAGCATCAGACAGGAAAAAGGCTTCTATCCTCAGACCTGGAGAGTAGAAGCTGTAGATTCAGGGCTGGTTTGTGAGATACTTACTTTCGAATGAAGACAGGCTTAAGGCGAGGCTCCATCTCATCTTCACTGTCTGTGTACTCTTCATACTCGGACTCTGATTCTGACTCCTCCCCAGAACGTCCCTCATCTTCCACTTCCATGACTTCCATCTCTTCATTTTTTCTCTCCTGTGCCCTTTGACGCATCATGCCACGGCGCCGCTCTATTTCCTATCAAGTCATATGTCCAAGTCAGTAAGTCAAATGGCCTGTGCTCTTTTTTATTTTTAAATATATTTTTATTGATTTCAGAAAGGAAGGGAGAGGAAGAGATAGAAACATCAATGATGAGAGAGAATCATTGATTGGCTGCCTCCTGCACACCCCCAACTGGGGGTCAAGCCCGCAACCCAGGCATGTGCCCCTGACTGGAATTGAACCTGGGACCCTTTGGTCTGCAGGCCAATGCTCTATCCGCTAAGCCAAACCAGGTAGGGCATGGCCTGTGCTCTTAAATGGCTTTTTATTTTCCCCTCATTAAGCTCAACAAATTTTGATCTGAGTAAATGCAACTTATCACTACAGTATTTTTAATCCTATCCCCAACAGAGAATCCTGAATCAGAGTTCTGCCAAAAGCAGCAACCTTGTGCCTTCAGGACCTCAACAAAGGAGCACAGGCCCCAACTCTTTCTTGTACCCAGAAAGAACTTCCCATTTTACTTTACTATACCTCATCATCAATTTCTTCCTCTTCTTCCTCACTGCTATCTTCTCGTTCCATGCGCCAAGCATCTTCTACTTCTGAGTCACTTTCTCCTACCACTTCAGGTTCCACTATTTTCCGATGTCGAGCCAATCTGAAAAACAGTATCTCCAAGTGTGACATCAATGCAATAAGAACATAGGGGCTCAACCACTTTTCTTTAGTCGCAGAGTACTTGGACATTGTTTGCTTTTATCACTTATTCTAAAGGCTAATGAGAGGAAATAACATTGAAGTAAGAAAAATGATATACTGAAGTCTTGAGATGGGCAAACTGAAGTTTAAAGAAACTAAAGTGTCAGAGCAAAGAGTCAAGTTGGACCTAAAAATTAAATGTATGAGGCATTCTGGGGCACTGCAACAAACTTATATAGGTACCACACACACACACACACACACACACACTCCCCTTTTTTCTCCCACTGATCCCTATAGCCAGCCCCAACCCCCACCCCCACCACCCTACTGTCTGTTGGGATATATTTTAAAGCTCAAGGTAGTTCACAGTTTCAACATTAAATCTAATTGTTCCCTTTCAATGACATCTTTGTGAAAATAGGATTTTGGTCACTACTGTGACAAAAAGCAAGTACCACATGAAAATCAATATGGAGCAGGAAATGAGAGTGACAGTGCCCAGCTGATTCCAAGGTTTGAGAGGCTGCCAGTCCAAGGAGCATAAATCTTACTAGTAAGTAACTGTGGTTCTGTAAAATGAAGTAAAAATGTTTTTTCTTTTACGTGTATTATATTTTTCAAATGGCTAAGTTGTTAAGACAAAAGTACACATTAAATTTCTGGATCTAAATACTTAATAAAATAAACAGAACTACTTGGGCGTAGGGGTTCTGTGGGAAAACTCCTGAGGCAATATGAGCTGTGAAAGCTCAGGACCTCTGACCTCCTCTGTAAGGTAATGTCTCAGTAAACATACAACATACAAAATCCCTGTTGGGAGGCTCCCTTCCTACATGAGACCATCCATTAGATCGTTTTTCTTTTTTTTTCCAGATCATTTTTCTTACTTCAATGTTATTTCCTCTCATTAGCCTTTAGAATAAGTGATAAAATCAATGTCTCAACATTTTTATAAAACATCTTTGTTAAAAAAGATGTTTGTTTTTTTTTAACACAAAAGGATGTGTTTTTTCTCACCTCAATAAACCAACCATGCCCTAACCGATTTGGCTCAGTGGATAGAGTATCAGCCTGTGGACTGAAGGGTCCCAGGTTCGATTCCAGTCAAGGGCATGTACCTTAGTTGGGGGAACATCCCCAGCTGGGGGGTGT